GGGTGTGAAAACATTGGTTTTTCTGGAATTTATGAAGTAACCACTAGTGTTATTTGCTGCTGATTAGAGTTCTCTGCAGCTAATCCACAGCAGAGCAGCCGCACGTGTTCAAGTGCTCATTCTTCTCTTCTTCGTAGACATTTGAAGGGGAACAAACACATTCTTGTGTCTTGTTACTCAGTATGTTTTTGTGTTTGGATGGGGAGAGAATTAAGTGGGCCTTAAAAATATCTCTCTCTGCCGAGTTAAACTGCCTCTTTTCCTTTCCTGCCTCCTTTAGGTCAGATGTACCAGCAGTACCCGCAGCAGGCTGGCTATGGGGCCCAGCAGCCGCAGGCACCACCCCAGCCGCCGCAGCAGTACGGCATCCCGTATTCAGGTGAGCAGCACCCAGGGCGGTCGGCTCCTAGATTTTGAGCTGTGTCTCTACTCATTAAACTTTAACCCTTTCCTCTTGGTTCCTTGATTTGTAATACTTACACTGTCATTGTAGGCATTAAGTATTTATTGGGGGGAATAACATTCGTTTTATTTATTTTTAAATATTTTGTATAAATATTTTATTGTAAATCAACATTTCAGTTTTCCAGTGGGCAGGTAAAACTTAAAATCATAGTAGCTGATTCTGTAATAACCTGTAGTATGAGAAAGTTTTTAATACAAAGCTGTCTTCCTACTGATGTGATCATTTTACCTTAGGTGACTTAGAACAGCAAAAATGCAAGATTTCCCCCGTTATATGTATGACTTAATCCCGGTGTACTCTTAGTACCTGTAAAACATTAACAGTTCCCTCATACATGGAAAGGTGGTCTTATTATATAAGAACCAAATTAAGCTACTTAGGTTTTTAAGTCTCCCAAAAGTATGTAGGAATACCAAAAACAGGCCAGAAAAATAGAATTTTGTAACATGTAATTAGGCAACTAAGAACATTAAATATAGTTGTTTGAAATCTTGGTTATTTTGTTTTACCTTCTATCCACTGAAGATTATCCATATTTAAATATGATAAATCTCTTCAGTGTAGCTTTGAACATGATTATAATTCAGGTAACTTTTACATGTGTTGTGTCAGAGAGAGAATTTGTGTTTAACTCTTGTTTTATAGCCTAAGATTTAAGTATCAAAATTTCAACTGTAATTAAAAATGATTTGTTTATGAGTTGAATCTTGCCTAAATTCTATTTTATGGAGTTTTGTGGTATTAACTAGAGCAGGAGTCAGCAAACTATAGCCCACAGGACAAATCTGGCCTGTTGCCTTGTCTGTGAATAAAGTTTTGTTGGAACACATACACCCATTCACATCTGTGCTGTCTGTTGCTGCGTTGGCACTATAAAGGCAGAGTTGAGTAGTTGCAACAGAGACCCTGTGGCCCACAAAACCTAGAATATTTACTCTCTGGCCCTTTACAGAAAAAAGATTGCCAACTCCTGAAGTGTATCATAAAATTCTATCATTAATTGGAGTTTGACATATTTTAACATATATAGCAACTTTTTATTTGGATTCTATTCGCTGTAGAGTGATTTAACCTGTAGCTGCTAGTTTTTAATTATATAAAATAGGTAGAATGAATTTAAGCTTGGATTATGATATTAGGGAGAAGGTTATTTTTAGGACGCAGTCTTTTAAATTAAAGAAAAATCAAACTGTTACAAAGTTTGTAATTTGTAGAAACAGTAGATACAGGGTGGAAAAGACCTAGTTGTCATCTGATCCGGGATTTCAGCCCTCACTGTGCTTCAGAATCACCTGGAGAGCTTTTTCTGAGAGTTGCAGGTGCCTGGGCCCTACTCCCAGAGATTTTGTCTCATTTGGTCAGGAGTGGGACTCAGGCCTTGATATTTTAAAAGCACTGCAGGTCATTCTAAAGTGCAGCGGGTGATGGGGACCACTGGTCTTGTCCCATCCACTCATTTTATAAATAAGGCAGCTGGGGTTCAAAGATGTTATGACACGTTGAAGGACAGCAGCCATTCAGTGCAGGGGCTGGATCAGAACCCAGTGCCGTTAATTACTTCCCTGTGTTGTTCTGCGTTCTCCAACCTAGACCAGGAGTTCGCAGACTTTTCTGCCATAAAAGGCTAAATAGTAAATATTTTATGACCCCCTTGTCCATTCATTTATTCAGAAACCTACAGAATTTCCATTTTTTGCAGTTGCTGGTGTTCCTCACCAAAGTTGCTCATTTATTGTGTTTTTCAAGGGAGAGGATGGTGGTGGCGATAATAGAAGCATTGCCACGTTATGGTCAAAGACTAGTAGGTTGCTAATGAAGCAGCATCTTAAGTCCTTCGGGGTTATTCCGTCTCCTCAGAAATAAAGATGTGGTTGTTTCCAGACTCAGTTAAAAAGACAGTCTAGATTTCAGTTGCCAGTATGAAAAGGCAACTATTTTTTTGCTCATAGTCTTAAGTTGAATAGACATTTTCAGTATAAAAGCTGAGTCCTTCTGTTTGTCCAAAAACTTATAGTAAAAAAGTTAAGTAAAAAAATGTTATGTAGGGGATAGGAGAAGTTGTATGATGTTCAAGATTTTATCATGGATTGACTTCGGTTCATATTTAGATGCTACCATAAGTAAAATGCATTCGATATTTGATTTACTTGGTAAAAATTAAGTTTGCTCTTAATGATTTTAGTCAGGGTCTTCACTCTGAGTAAAATTTAGTTCTTTTCAAATTGTCATCTTTGTATTTCTGATCCCACTAGTCCTATTAACTTGAATTTGATTGGGAGATATGGAAATAGTCAACTAAGTACTCTGCTTGGTGGTGGTGGTAACATTGGACCATCTTTGACACTCTGTTGGTTTGCCAGTGTCCCTCTGACCTTTTCCAGTCAAAAAGGTTTCTTTCATGAGTAAATTTTGAACCCAGGTTCAAGGTGAGTTCAGAATATACTCAAATTCATTCAATCCTTTTTTTTTAATGCAGGGTTGTACATATTTTAATAATTTTCTTATGTATCTGGTATTTAATGCTGACAGGATTCCAGTCAATGGAGAGGTTTCATTGCAAGTAGCTGCAGGTGTGTTTCATGGTAGAGATAAAAGTTTTTAGTGAAGCAGACTTTTTCTTTTTAAAAAATTTACATACTAGTAAATAATATAGATGTTGATTTTGTGGGGCTATATGGTATGCTTTTTGTATGTTATGTTGTTACTAAGTCAGAATTGTGAGTTGTAAAGGCAAAAACATCAGATACCAAATCTAAAAGAAATGAAAGATTTTAAGGATTGTGAAAATGGGTACTTAATGCGTGTCCTTAAATGGCTTAGTTTTTATAGAGTGAAAAAGTGAATACACCTTAAAGCATCTTATTACAGTAAGATGTGTTTGTGGCACCATTGTTTCATTTAAAAATATTCATTCTCTGCAGTGTTTTTATTTGGTACTGTTGTTAAATAGGCCTCCCCTCAAACCAGGTTAATGACTAGCTTTTGCATTGATTCCTGCATTTATCATGTGAGCATCTACTCTATAATAGGAGTTATGCTAGAACAGGAATTTGTTCTCAGGGATTATCTAGTCTAGAAGCAGTTGTAATGAAGAAATACGTATATATCGGTTTCAGTTTAAGATTAGAGGGTTTAAAGATTGTTTAGAAAATGCCTCTTTGATACTGCTTGGTCTTGAAATCGTATTATATGATGGAATTTACTACTCTAATACTTAGGAATAAGTTTGTTAAATTTCTCATCATTTTTGGTCCATAACAGTAGGACTAATTCTCTGGAAAACTTTCACCAAAAGGAAAATAAGATATAAATGTTGCTTATTTTGCCTTTCCAGCAGGCTATAGTCAGCAGACTGGAGCCCAGCAGCCTCAGCAGTTCCAGGGATATGGGCAGCAGCCAGCTTCCCAGGCGCCCGCGCCGGCCTTTTCTGGTCAGCCTCAGCAGCTGCCCACTCAGCCACCGCAGCCGTACCAGGCGAGCAGTTACCCTCCACAAACTTATACTACCCAACCTTCTCAGCCTACTAATTATACTGTGGCCCCTGCCTCACAGCCTGGAATGGCTCCAAGCCAACCCGGGGCCTATCAGCCAAGACCAGGTTTTACTCCCCCTCCTGGAAGCACCATCACGCCCCCTCCGAGTGGGCCTAACCCTTATGCACGGAACCGGCCTCCCTTTGGTCAGGGCTACACCCAACCTGGACCTGGTTATCGATAAAGAGGTTCAGCTACACTGAGGAACATAGCCGCTAGTTACTTGTCTCCCAGAAGACTCCAATACTACTATTTTATTTTAATTTGTATTGAAGTTCAGAAATTTAAAAAGCAGAGCATTTTATATGATATCACTGTTGCTGTTAATTCAAAATATAATTTGCTGAGACACAAAAAAGACCAAAATGAAAAATTTTTCCTCCCCTGCTTAAAAGTGTAGCAGCTTCCTAGTTATTTTGGAACACTACTCCTGTGTGTGTAAAGTGATTGGCTTTCTAGCTTGCCTTGTGCAGAGGGTATTAAAGTGCTAGGTTGGAGCTCAGCCGTCTTACTGGGCTGTTTACTATTAACATGAGGAACTAAAGTAGATCCTTTGAGAAGACAACTAGATAGTATGTATAAAATGTAACACTGAAAGGCTAATAAAGATCGTTGAATCCATTGGTGGTCTTGTAATTTAATTTAGTCACTAACATTAGATATACACGAGAAGAAAGCAGGAAATAAATCCTTATTGATGTTTGGTCTCAAAATGAAGTATAGACATTTTAATTTACAGTTTTCTATTCGGAGAAACAGTGCCGTTTGGTTTTTGTCCTGACTTTGAAAGAAATGCATTTAGCAATCATTGGCTTAAAACAGTGGAACTTTAGAATAGATTTCACAGGAAGATAGATTAGCACTATATGTCAACACAACGGATACAGTATTATTAAAAGATACAAGGGGGAAAAAAGATACAAGGCGGGTTTGGTGGATCCTGAATAACTTTGTGATTTTCCCTTGTAGAGATGAACCATTCAGAAATAAAGAACTCAGTCTTAAAAAAAACTACATCTCTTTATTGCAGTTTATACTTGTTTGGAAAATACAAAATGTAGACGATAAACTTGAAGCATGTTGAAAGGTAGGCCCAGGAAAGCTTTCTTTCCGAATGAGGGCAGCAATGCAGCATTCCTGTCTCCCTCCCCCAGTGAAAGAAAGCAATACCTTTTTAAATAAAAATGAGTCAGATTTTCATTATAGGTTGAGTTAGAATTATGAAAACATCCTCTGATACATTCATTCCTGGAGGTCCTATGTATAAAAATGTAGTAAGTATCCTGTAAAACCACGGGTACCTCATCATGCATTACCTCTTTATGCTCAGACTTCCCATTCAGTCTCTGCGTACAGCTTGATTAGAATTATATTGAAAACAATAGGAAGATAATTGCTTAAAGGGATAGTTTGACCAAGTACATTCAGACATTGTAACATACGTATGGGTAGAGAAATAATGAAACGTGTATTGAAACAATATTTTGAAAATACATCAGATTCTCAATTTTTCAGCTGAAATGAAATTTACTGATTCAAACAGTCTTTTCAATAATTTGCAAGTATTTAAGGAAATGTATATTTGCATGAATGGTTACCTATTTAAATGCTTCAAAAAGCTATTCAGCTGTTGCTAAAAAATGGAAGTTTAAATAAACTTGAATGTTAGGACCTTTTTCCCCCAGATATATGTGCTGAAGATAATTTGATCTAATAAGTTAAACCAAGTAGAGATTTATGGAATTAACTCACCAGTAGGAAGAATACACATTAATAAAAGTAAATAGTTTTTAAAAAGTATATTAGTTTTTCGATGTTAATTTTGTTATAAAAGTATCTCAAAACATCATTACAACAGTGTTGATAAATAATATACAAATGATCTCTTAAAATACCATGAACAGGGAGCCAGCTTCCCAAAAAAAGTTATTCTGTTAATGTCAGTATCTTGCTTTCTTAAAATGACTTTGTAAAACCTGATAAATATTCTCAGCAATCTTTCTAATAAACATCTAATATTGCTATTAATTAGATTTTAAACTTTTATACATAGTAAACATAACAGCTTTAAATGAATGTGACAAATACCATAGTGTTTCCAATTATTTTTTGCCATGATGAAACAGAAGGCCCTTTTGAACACGATTGTAGCATCTACCATTTTCCAGGAATTGTGGTCCCGCATTCATACCACTGGACATAATTGATTTGGGTGTGACCACCTATTTCTCCAAATTGGACAGGTTCCTGGCGAACTGCTCTGAAATAGCCTAAGAGGGAAAACAATGTAATTTTAATAGCCGCTATGTTCTGTTTTTGCCCTCACCGTTCACAGATTGGAGGATGTTGTTGAATGGCTGAAGCTTACCCTAGGTGAACCAGCAGATAGCAACAGAGACCTTGGTGTCTTTCCTGAGGTGGCGATGGCTAGCTAGACATCAGGGGTGCCTACCTCCTTGACAGCTACCTTAACAAGTTGGGGTGGGGTGCTTGGTAGTGTCCGAGACAAAGCGAAAGGGGGCAGGAGTTAGAGGGCGTCTGTGTTTTGTTTTTTCAGTGTCATTTAGCATGTTCATATGCTGTTGGGTCTTAGGTGAAAGTGTCCTTTCTGCACATTGCAGACTAGTGTCTGACCAAGTGACCTGAGTGAAGTCCTGTGCACTGCAGTGTTAGGAAATAAAAGGTGGGCAGTTCCAAGATTGCTGAATTTCTAAGAATTAAACTTGGATGAAATCTTCCTTCAAGGACCCTACAACTAAATGGCTAAAAATTTCACTGTGAATGTAAAATGTTAGGGAAATATACACAAAGTACATTTTATATCCACTTCCCGAAAAGCAACAGCTTCAACTTCCTGTTAATGGGTTCACAGATCTTACTATCTTTTATTGGTTAGTATTTTTAGGTGCCAGTGAACAAAATGTGTTGCTGAAAAGAGTGGTCAAATAATTTAAAGTATTTAACAAACCTCTTGGTGATTCTTGAGTAATATGGACATTATAATTTGCCCTCTCCTGCCCTAACTGGGCGAGGATTAAATTAGTTTGCAGTCTTCTCAGTCCTGGTTAAGCAGCTTGGTGCTAATGTGTCTTTAGCAAGTTGCAGTGGTCATTCATTTCTTAGCAGAATTGTTCTAGTTTAATTGTATTTATATAAGGCAAATGATACTGGGTTTTTTTCCATTTTATGGTAGTAATAAAATTGTCTTTAAAAACATTTTTAAGGGACTGGAAAAAAAAATGCCTGTGTGCTCAGTATGAGAAAAACCATAAAGGAAATACATTTAAGCTTGGGAAACACGGCTCTTTTGTAGCTGTTTTTGCAAATTCAGGTTTTCTCAAAGTAGAATGCATTTATATATGCCTGTGTAATTTCTCTTGGCTCTAAGGAATAGAGTCTTAAGGCCTGGCCGGAAAGTTGAGAAACTTCAAATTAAGGTCTTATACGAAAGTCTTTTTTTTTCTAGCCAGATAATTAGAGGGATACAGTAGAATTATTTTTAAAGTGATTGCTTTCCTCAGCTTAAATTCTTTGGGGGTTAATTTGTGAACCCCTCTTGCTTATGAGGAGATTCATAAAACATACCTTCTTTGGTGGGTAGCTGGTCAGAATCGAGTTGCTGTCCTGTGCGTCCGTCTAAAAATGAGTCCACGAACTGGCAGTGATCTTCTCCATGGCCTCTCTGATCGCCTATGTTATAAAATTTTCCTGAAGAGCCAGAAATTAAAAGGATCGTGAAGGGTTAACTTTCTTTGATATAGGACAATTCTGAAATCATCAAATTGTTTCAAATGGTCAGTCTTCCCTGTTCTTGTACTTCCCCCCCTTTCAGCCTGGTTTAAGCCACCCGTGTCTCTTGACTGAACTATGAATAGTCTCCCAACTGGCATCCCCTTTTTCTTCCTCTCAGAGGTTAGTCATCTTGTAAAAATGCACCTCAGATGATGTCCCCTCCATCATCTCCCCAGCCGTCTCCCGTTAGACTCGAAGTGAAACCCAAAGTCCTCATGTGGTTTCAGAGCCCCACGTGGCTCCACACCTGGCTGCTGCTCGCCCCTTCCCGAGCTCACCCCCCTCCCCTCGGGGCCCGGCCGGCCTGGGCCTCTGCGTTCTCTTCCCCCGCCCCTAGTGCTTCGTCCCTGCGTCTTTGCTTGGCTGCTTCCTTCTCAGGGTTTGCTTCTGCACAAGCGTTCCCTCTTCATCTCGAGAAGCTTTCCCTAACCATCCTACCTAGGAGCTTCTGCTCGGCCCTGTTCCTCCCATTTTCATCCCGTTCAGCCGGTTTTCCCCTTATCCTTTCGAAGCTTTGTTCAAAGTGCTACCTGAGCTTCTTATCTCCGTGTCTGTCCTCTGTCTCTTCCCACTAGACTGAGCTACAGGGAAGCAGGAGTGGGTCTCGTTTGCACTTTGTCCCCACACGTATGCCAGGGTCTGAACAAAGCAGATGGTACTGGTTGAATGGTTGAACAAATGTCTACCTTTTATGATGGGGCCTGCCTTATTTACTTGTTTAAAATTTTTACTGTTTTGTTATAGAAGAGAAAATAATATCCCACTGAGTCTGGAACAAGGGGTTAGAGCCCTTCCGGCCAGGTGTTTGAATCTTGATCTTGTCTCTGCAGACTTAACATCTTAAATATGTCATATTCCTTACATGATTACTGTTAGAGATGCTCATTTTATTATCAGTAGGCGTTCTGTCCTTGTTTGGCTGTCACAAAATCGAGCTTGAGTGTGGTGGTGCCTGTACATTCAAGTTTGCCATGGTGACACTATTTCAAATTGCATTTTCATTATTTACCTTCTAATAGCCTGTCTCAAATCCTAGGTTAAGTATTCCAGTAACATCTTACTGGAAGGGACAGCTTGTATGTAGATCACACCATAGTGGCTGGGACTGTCACAGAGAAGCCACGTTACAGAATGCTGCAGAGCATCCCCCCAAAGGACCGGGCTCAGAGCGGCTGAGCGCCTGCTCACCTGTGAGGGAGTCACTCAGGTAAATCTTGTACCTGAGGGAGTTGCACAGCTGCACCCCTACGAACTTCTTATACCACGTCCTTTTGACATACTGTTTGCCCTTGCATTCTGAGTAGGAGTCGGAATTAAAGGGTCTCTCCGTCCAGATGGCATCTCTTCCTGCTGTGTGAGGAAGGCACATGGTTTGAGGTTAGTGTCTGGCTCCGGCACTGAAGAGCTGCCCCGAGAACTTTCGAAAAAGCAGTTTGCAAAGTTCATGTCAACTTGCTGATACTTAGTTTTCTCCAATGCTAAACACTGGAGCCAAAAACATAAGAGTTTAAACACGTAGCCCCCCAATTAAGCTCCTGGCAACAGCGAGCTAAATCTTGGCGCGGTGTTGAGCAGGCTCTGGAGTGCCGGGTGCCCGCGGCTTTCCTGGAGAAGCAGCATATTATACAACTTAAACAGCTGCTTTCATGTGACTTGTTGTTAAAAGTGGAAATGAGAGTGTTATATCTTGGCTTAATTATTTAACAGAAAATTTGATCTGGCCTAGGACATGAATGAAAGCAAATTTCAAACTGTCCCACTTGTTCACCAAACATCGTAGGCTCTTGATGTTCCTGAATGTTTTAGGTAGGCATTCACACCCGAGCTATAGTCTAAGAAGACGAAATGGACCATAGTGATGGCGGGACTGCGGCTCTGCCACAGCCGCTTAGTTGAATCAGTTGAGAAAAGCATGCGGTGTGTTCGCATCGAGACAGATACTTACCAGAAACTGGCTCGCTCACTCTGGGGTCCGCTGAGGGGAAAAAGCAAACACAGAGCAGACGTTATTAGGAAAGTCGGTCCCAGTGTTCCAGAGGCAGAGTGAAGAGGACGGGTGCTTACAGTTGTGAAGAAATCTACTTGAAAAACGGTACACTCTTGCTAAAGCCTGAATTTGAAATCATGTGTTTTGTTTTGGAAATTGCTCTTGATTGGACAGTGTCCTGTCAGAAACCCAGCTGTAGGTCCTACACATGATTTGAGTAGTTAGGAGTCTTCGTTGCTGTTCCAGCTTTCACTTCCATTTTAAAAGCTTCCTCCTTTAGTTTCATACAAAAACTATGATGCTAAAATCACCAAGATGCCATGAACTGCACTTGGTGTAAAAATTATACACATAATACTGTGAGTACAGACATATCTCATTAAGGAATTAGTGCTTAGAGGGTCTAATTAGAACATTTCACAACTGCGTAACATAAGACACTATCAAATGGATTCCTTCTCTGCATGTACTATGGCTCAGCATGTCAGATATTTTGATTCTAGGCATTGGTTCTTGGCATACAGAGGAGCATTCATTCAGTAGATTTTTGAGTATAGATTGATTACCCACTTGTTTTTTTCTTTTAAACTGATATCCCTTTTTTTCTGACATCAAAATAAATGAGGAAAAACATGTGGGGTTTCCTTAAGGGTGCCTTGATCAGTTTGCTTTCTCCCGTGGATGAGTTTTTGAAATGACACAGAGCGTTTAGCTGGGTTTCAAACAAGCTGCCTGTGCAAACATTCTGGCCCTTCACGTCCCTGTTGGGAATTACTCCTGAGTGATTACCTGATTCGGTGCTGAAGGCCACCGTGTTGCTGGCCGGGCCTTCTCCAAGTGGGTTTTTGGGTTTCACCTGGAATTCATAGCTGTGTAGGGGAAATTTACAAAGTTATAATATATTCTTCAAGGGTGGGAGACAACACTCCCCTGTTGTACTGACATCCTTCCTGATTCTGTTTTGAAATCATGATGACAGTCAATGGACATGTTTAGAAGCAGCTTGAGGAAAAAAGAATTCTTTAATTTTACTTTCCAAACAGCTTGTCTAATGTTTTGTATAAGAAAAGGACTAAGTCAATAAAAAAGTAGTTGTCTTTTAAAAACTCCAAATTAGTAGAAATACCTGGGCAAGTTAGTAATGGATGTATAGGAAAGAGGTATGTGGTGGACCCAGGCTAATTACAGCAACAAGGACCCTCAGTTTCCTTCAAATATTTCGGCTACTTTCTGGGCAAAGCAGTTCCCTTTTATTCCTTATGATCCCAACCTTGAGTACATGTAGCCTTAGACTTAGGCCGTGTTCCTCATCGTGGGGTTCAAACTGCCTATGTCGGCATCACGTGACAGAGTTACCGTGGGGAAAGTTTGTCTCAAATGCAGGTTTCTGGCTCCAGCCTGGCTACACTGAGTCGGTTTTTGAGGGCGTCCCGGTAGGAATTTGTAACAAGTTCCTGAGGTGAATCCTGTGCCCACTGACGCTTGCGAATTACTAAACTGTGGGAGCAGATGCACATGGACATATTTTGTTGCAAAGACTTCCTGGTTCTAGCTCCTGGAACTCGGGTCTTCTATGGTCTGTCCAGAATAGGGGCATGGTAGTGGTGCCTCATGAAGAGCATGGGCACGAAGACGGACATCTCTTTTTCCAGATTCATACAAGCCAGGCCTTAACTCTTTACGTTAAAAAACAAAACACAAAATAAATCCAGATTCCTTGGCGTATGTTTGATTCTATCCTTAAGAATTATGCAGTAAATTGCTATGTAATATTTGACAAATTTCATTCATAGCATACTTAGGTGGAGCAAATCCTTTTATTTATTTATTTTAAAGATTGGCAGCTGAGCTAACATCTGTTGCCAATCTTCTTTTTTCTTTCTTCTTCTCCTCCCCAAAGCGCCCCAGTACATCGCTGTATATTCTACCTGTGAGTGCCTCTGGTTGTGCTATGTGGGACGCCGCCTCAGCATGGCCTGATGAGCAGTGCCCATGTCCACACCCAAGATCTGAACCGGCGAAACCCTGGGGCGCTGAAGCAGAGCGAGAGAACTTAAGCACTGAGCCACGGGGCCTGTCTGGCAAATCCTTTTAAATTCAAATAGTAAAGCTATTTGCTGCTTGACTGAAACTAAGAGTTCCTTTCAGTAGCACACTTAGCAGGGAAGTAATTTTGAATGTAAAGCTAGTGAGTCATCTGATAGGATTGTAAGTCTTAAATTTGTACAGGCTTTGAGGAGGTAATTCCCATTTTTAAGAAGTTTGTAATTGAATAAGAATGCAGAACACACAATAGATAGATATTTTATAAACTAGTGAAAGATAGAAGGGTAACAGCTCTCAGTTTGATGCAGAGGCTACCATGTGAACAATAACAGGAGAACTTTCTGGGGCTCGAGGAGCGACATTCTTGACTACTGAGGCATTGTGTTAAAACTCTCTAGAATCTATAAGAAGATAGATTCTAGCATTTTACAACAATGGCAACTACTTTTTGAGTGCTTCCTATGTATCAGACACATTAATCGCTCTACACAAATAAAGCAATGCAAGACACACACAAACCCCAAGAGACAGGTATCCTACTTTTCAGTTAAGATCAACGAGGCTCTTAACCACTCTACTATTACTGTCTTTGCTTTCCAAACTTCTGAACTTTGTGAAATGAGGAATTAAAACTTGTGGGGTATTTGTAGTGAGAGACTGCCCATCAATGCATTTTTGTTCACTAATCAACTGATGGAAGGTGCTATTATAATTTGCAATAAGAGAATGCCGATATAAAACCACCCGTGTCACTCATTTAAATAAACTGCATATATGTGGGGTATTTTAACATGGAATATTTTCTAGAGATTAAGTTCTTGCTCAGAGGCCTGATAACCTTAAAAAAAAGAACAGAAACAAAAACCCACTGTGGTAAACTGAAAATGGAAAAAAGAAATCCCAGGCATCTGGACTTTGATTCTGGGGGGGGATGCATTCCAAATTCCAGGACGTTGCCAAAAGCCCTGTGCCTTGGCCAAGTCTGATTGCTGGAATCATCTCCATGTCTTTTTATTTCAGTTATTTTTACTTCAGCTCCATCATAGATATTCATAAGCTACTTTTTCTGGGGTTTTTTTTGGCCAACATTTTATGAACTTGACAAGTTTTGAAGAAATCATTTTAAACTAAGTTTAATTAACAGCATGGGAACTAAAAAGCACATGTTTTTGGTGGATTAAACCTTATATGAACAGAAAATATTTGAAGTGGCAAAGCCTTTCCCAAGAACACATTTTATCACAAGATTTATGACACTGGAGGTCTAGGAGAGTAACGTCTCGGAGAAAATATTGATTGTCCATAGGAAACAGCATAGGATGCTGTTTAAAAATTTCACAGAGGACAAGAAAGGCATTTAAAACAAAACGTATAGGATGAATAAATCTTTAAATAGAAGGATTGGATGCTAAAGTTAAGGAAATTTTACAAATACTAGCGCAAAAAGTCAGAGATGAAGAATGAGAGAACATAAGGAAATCAGGGTTTTTCCAGAGAATGCGATACCCAACTAGGAGGTCCTCGAAGAGAGAGGAGGAGAAAGGAGGATAGAAAAGTATCCTAGAAATTATGTAATTTCCCAGAACTGAAAGACGTGGGTTTCCAGACTGAAAAAGCCTAATGTTTGCCCAGCAAAATGAAAAAAGAAAAAAAAGACTAACCAAAGCACACAAGTTGAAAAATTTCAGATCACTGGGATAAAGACAAGATCTGAAAGGTTTATAAGAAGAAAACAGGTCCCATTCAAAGGATCCAGAATCAGAACGACATTTGACTTCTTAGCAGCACTGGAAGTTAGAAAAAATGGAAAACGCCTTCTAAAGTCTTCATTTTACCTGAAAATCTGTCTCTAGCTAAACAACAGTATCAGAGTAAAACAAGGATATTTTCAGGCATGTAAGGGCTCAAAAATATTTTCTTCCATAACCTTTTCTCAAGACAAATTTCTCAAGAAATGCCACAAAATGAGAGAGTAAACAAGGAAGACGTGGGATGCAGGAATTAGGAGATTCAGCATAGGAGAGAGGCAAAAGATGATGGTAAGGGATTCCAGGAGATGTCGCCATAAACAAATACATGGAACAAACAGGGCTCAGCGCAGAAGGAGCAGCAAAAATGCCCGTCTCCCAGTCTTCCCCTGGAAGAGTTTTTTTCTGCAAATGTTAAAAGCTGCTATCTGAGGGAGAGGCTTCCAAGTTTAGCACGTATCTAAGGGCTGGCTGTGATCTTCCCCAGAGACTGGGAAGTGGATACCTTCCCTGCCCTCTCCTTCCTTCCAGCCCATTCCAATAATAAAACCAAGTCACTGGTATCTCCCTGGAAGTAATTTGTGCAAATGGTGGTGCATCAGCTTTGCAGATTGCCTGGCTCTGAGATCCACTGGGGCTTGCATTCATACCCACAGGACTATAGCAAATAAGGAAGCAGTTCTTAATGGATGCAGGAGCACCCCCTCCCCACACACAGCTAAATCCTGGACCCACCACAGAGGGAGCAGGTAAAAATTCCCATCTCCTACTGTCTCCCTGGAAGGGGCTTAGCTCCATAATTTCCCAGCTGCTACCTGAGGGTCCAGCTGATAATCAGTCTGCATCTAAGTGCTGATTGTGATCCTGCCCCCTTTGGGACTCTGATGGCTTTTGGCATACCCTTGACTACTGGGAGCCACTAAGAACAAAGAAGGTGGTTTAGACAATTACAGAGGGTTGAGAGAAAACTGGAGCTCAGGCTGGGCTGATTGAAGATTGTTCTGTCAAGGGGGCCAGGTGACTGTTTATCTAATATGCAGAATCCAACACAGTGTCAAGGAAAAGGAAGAAACGGGGGAATCTGTTCCAAACAAAAGAACAAGAGAAATCTCCATAGAGATTTCAAACAGATCTTGATGAAATGGACATAAGTGATTTGCCTTATGAGAGTTCAAAACAACAGTTAAGATGCTCACCAAGGTGAGGAGAACAATACATGAACAAAGTGAGAATTTCACAAAGAGAAAATATAAAAAAGTGCCAAACAGAAAACACAGCTGAAGAATACAATAACCGAACTGAAAAATTCATTAGAGGAGTTCAACGTGAGACTGGGTCAAGTGGAAGAAGGGGTCAGCAAAGATGAAGACAGGGCAGTGGAGCTGATCTAATCTGAGGAGCAAAAAGAATAATGAAAAGAGTGAAGATGACTTAAGGGACATATGGGACCATCAGATGGACCAAGATATGCACTATAGCAGTCTCAGAAGGAGAAGAAAGAGAGGCAGAAAGCTTATTCCAAAAAATAATGTCTGAAAATTTCCCTAACCTGAAGAAAGAAACAGACATCCAGATCCAGGAAGACCAGAAAGTTCCAAATAGAATCCAAAGAGACCCACACCGTGAGACCCACAATAATTATCAGAGACCCACATTAATTATAATTAAGTTGTCAAAAGTTAAGGAGAGAATCTTAAGAGCAAGAGGGGAAAAGCAACTTGTTACATACAATGGCACTTGTAGATAAGATAACTTGATAAGAATATCAGCAGATTTTTCAGCAGAAAGTTTCAGGCCAGAAGGGAGTGGCATGATATATTTCAAAGTGCTGAAATAAAAAAACTACCCAGTAAAGTTGTCCTTCAGAATTAAAGGAGAGAGAAAGGTTTTCCCAGACAAACAAAAGCTCAAGGAGCTCAGCACCACTATACCAACCTTACAAGAAATGTTAAAGAGAGTTCTTCAAGCTGAAACAAAAGGATGCTAGTTAGTGACAGGAAAACATATGAAAGTATACAACTCCATGATAAAGGTAAATATAGTTAAATTCAGAATATTATAATGTTGTAATCATG